GCCTAAACTGGCAGTTGGACATCCCTCTCACAATCTGGGACCACTGGCTCCTAACTGCTCACCTGCCTGCCTGCCTGGTAGCCCCCAACTACCCCCCCTCTGCTGGCCTGGTTGCCCCTAACTGCCCCACCCCCCCTGCTGGCCTGGTTGCCACACGCAGCTTGCTTGTTCAGTTGTTTGGTCGTCCCTCACTAAGCCCCCTGCCGACCTGGTCATAGGCAGCCATCTTGTGAGGGCATGAGGGTTAATTTGCATATTGCTTCTTTATTATATAGGATGTGGTTTTATATTGTGCATAATTGTATTAATCTGCCCACATCCTTCAGTGAGCCATTTGCCAATACCTGGTGAGGAACATGCACCAGGAATTCCACTTGTAATTGTCATGGTAAGGAAAGATCCCACCTGTGGCGAAAGCATGTACAGAGATAGTCAATCTAATAGAGCAAAAGTGATAACAGCTTAATTGTCCCTAAGTAGGCAAAGAAAACTATGTGTGGTTTAATTAGATGAAATAGTATTTAGTAGTTCAAATAAATATAATATACATGCATATAAACATACTGTTAGGTTTTAAAAAAAGGCCTGTTGCAAAACTGTCTGCTCATTATTCATGGCTAGGTTGAAAATGCAAACTTTCTCTTTATTGAAGCATTCTCTGAAAAATCCCATCCAATGAAATTAATTGAGCTTTCTCACCCCATAGAACTGTAGTTATAACTCTATTTGTTTAAGGTTGACTTCTTCCCTTCACTCTCCATCACATGTACATTGTGAACCACTTAAATGCAGAAATCGGGTCTTAGTCATCGGTGCAGCCCCAGGGTCCCAGCCCGAGAGCTTGCTTACCGTCGGTACTCAGCACATAGTTGTGCAGAGAGGCAAATGCACATGGATGTTTTTCCAGATACTCTCACATATTTCATGACTTTCTCATGTCATGAGATCTTTATTTTCTCTGCGTTTCTGATGAGGAGACCGACTGGTACATTATATCAAATGACTTGCCCTCGGCCACTGAGAGCAATGACGGACGACATTCCAGGTGCCATCTCTCTTGCACTAAACTGCCTTGCATTAGACATCAAGAAAGTGAGATGATTTAAATTTTATGTCACCTGCTTGATGTTTTGGGAAGAGATGGCAGAAAACTTTCTTGGAATCAGGAGAGCATATACAAGAGACCATTAGAAATAGAATAAAATACGGAGCCCAGAGGGGGAGACTGATTTCATTTTAACTCAGCATAATTGAGTAAATAAATTTGAATATTTGTAATGTGCCGAGCAATTGCTTAAGCTCACCCAGGAAGAGCGAGTGGGGAAATCACTGAGGAAATGTCTAGTAGAGCATTGGCACAGAGTAGGTTTCAATAAAGGTCAATTCCTTTTTCTTCTTGAAGGGCAGAGTCAGGACTAGACCCTATATCTCCAGTATTCTTTCGGCCCGGTCAGGGTCATCCAGAGGTCAAGCTGGACAGTGAATCTGTGGGAGATCATGCCTGTACACCTCGCTGGTAAAAACTGACACCACGAATATTTTCTGACAGCTCTTTTGCTCCCTCACTTCAGCCCCCTTCTCATTTTATGCTCACATGGCCATTACTTTCTATTAGCATACTAATAAATGTTTATGAGATTATACTGTATAAACTATAAACTTTTACATATTATTCATTAACCTCGCACATTGGATTGGAGGCTCCTGAACATTTACTGACTTGTAAAACAGGAGAGTGGCATAGAGGGAGCCATGTCTGCTAAACAGGTCTTACTCTGCTCTGCCTGCAGGAAGTGTGCATTGTCATTCGGACAGCCTGGTACTTAAGGACAGCAGACCTGGCCTTGCCTCTTCCCACCTGGGACTTTTTCAACCGCTCAAAGGCCAGTTTCTTTGTTTGCAAAATGATAAGAGTATAATAAGAGTACCTATCGATGGGGTGCTTAGCACAAGGTAGTTACCCAATAAACATAAATTGAATAAAATGGAACCAATGCAGAACCAATGAGAGGAAATGGCAGGGAGTCAGAGAGTTCTATTTGTTAACACATTGTATATGGGGAAACTTATTTATACATTTTACGTTGACTGTAAGTAGTAGAGCCACCTGTTACTACCCGCATACAATGTGTTAATGATGAAAAGACTGATGAGAGGGATTTCCAAGAGTGGGCAGCCTGCATTCCAGTGTGGTAAGCAGTGTGTTCTCGCTACAGATGTGCAAGGAGAAGCTGGACGAAGCAATGTCTGCATGGGGTTGGAGGGTGTACTACATACGGTTTCTTCTATTCCTACGACCCACGGATTCTAGGACTGTGATTTTTCAAGGCCAGAGAGACGGCGAATGGGGGAGTTCCAGTTTTAACTTAGGCACTGACTAGTTTTACAATTTAGTCTAGATTCAAGGCACTTACATTCTCTCTCTGTTCTTTTATCTGTAAAATTGCTACACAAATTCAGTGGAAGAACCCAGATCTGGGGTTCAGAGACAGATGCAATTAAGTCATGTGACTGGGGTTGAGTATTTCCACCCCTTGCATCCTAAGTAACTGATCTCAGGTATGTAGCACAAGGCTAATGAATCTGCTGTGCCAACATCACTGGGGTGTCCTGAGACTCGGATAAGAAAGTAGATGCGATTAGTGTGTTGTAAACACAAAAGGGTCATGAGATGCAGGGTACACTTAGAACACCTCACCGTACTGCAAATCCATTATGTTCTCATTTCCTACCCCACCAGGCTATGAGACATTTAAGTACAAAGCTGTCTTTCCGATCTTTATATTTGGCAGTGCCCAGCAAAGTGAACCCATGGATTCCACACACGTTTATGAAGTGCCTGCTATGGGTCAGGCACATTGGTAAGTGTTGGAGTGAGAGAGGAAAAGGACATGGTCTCTGCCCTCGAGGAACTTGCATTCTGATAGAGGACTGAACTGCAGATATATCCAGAAATAAACGCAAAGGGAACTCTTTCTGAGATTTAGCTGTAAAGGGGGCATCCTGTTTGGGAACGTTGCCACCTTCAGGGCAAGGAAAGCTTCCTCTCCTCTCTGCTGTCCTACAGTGAGCGTCTAAGTTGTTGATGGCCACCTTTCTTGAGAGCCAGGCAGTTGTTGGCTTTGGGTCTTTCCCTGCCCTTGGATACATTCCGATGGAGCGCACAATGGCAATTCATTCTTGGGGTCCACTCACACGGTGGCCGGAGGCAAAGAATGGTGAAGTGATTTAAAGCTTATAGAAATGGTTAAGTCCCCAGCAGCTAGAAGGTACTTTCCAAGGAGGAAGAGCGGATGCCTCTTATAAATACAATTACTATTGATTACTGTCAGATTCTTTTATCTGATTTCTGCCCATTAGGCCCTCTCTTTTGCTGGAAGCTCTCTCTCTTTCCCTCTGCTTCATATTGCCTCCAGAAGTGCCTCTTAAAGGAGTGCTGCGGAATCCTGGTGATCCCTGAATAGCTCGGAGGTGTTATGAGAGCATTCGGAAGAATACTTCAAAGCTTGACAATAAATAACAATTTTACGATTATGACATAAGTGGAAAGAAGGGCAATGTCTCTTTAGTGCTCCATCTCAGAGCAGGAGCTACAACAGCAAAGTCAGCCAATCTCTATTCAGCTGCTTAGCAACCAGAGGCTTTGAGTGGTGCCCCCTTGTAAAGTGTGTGTGAGGGACACCTGTCGCCTTTGCACCCAGAGCATCGTCCCTCCGCTCCTGGTAACAGTACTCCATGTCTGCTTGGGGAGAACTATCCTTCCTCATTGTCAACCCTGTACTTTGGGACGCCCCAGGGGTGGAGCACTCAATGTAGGCATCAATCAAATACAAATCCCATCTTCTGGTCACCGGGATGGGCACGTGATCCAGTTAAGTCCAACGAGAAAGTACTAGGCTTATGAAAAAACCCACCACAGAGACAATGTTGGGTGGTGTGGTGGGTGTCTGAAGCTGCTAGTGGCAGAGAAGGGGCTGCGCTGTGAGCCTGAACCATAGCAGGAGGAGCAGAGTCAGGATCTGCAACCTGGTGGTAGCAGCTGAGCCTGACTCAAGCTGTGTCTGAAGCCAAGTCTGCTCATAGGCTTTTCAGGACATCTGTTTTTTTTCTAGCTTAAGCCAGTTTAGGTTGGATTTTTTTTTCTGCCATTTGCATCTAAAATGGTCCTAAGGTGGTATAGTATGTGATAATTTACTGCATTTTAGACACTTATTTGGCTAAATGAGAATATAAGAAATTATTGTATTTAATTGTGGCGAGCCGGCATGGCCATGGCATACTCAGCCCCACGTTGGGCACCTTATGTGCCGAGCCAGCTCAGCCAGGTTTGGTGAGCCTGAGTGGGGAGGGTGAAGGATTGAGAAAAGACAGACAAGAGAAGAAAGCTGGGTCTGGGTGGGACGCTGTCCTCTCTGATGGAGAGCTAGCGACAGCGCCACGGACTACAAGCCGTGTATTTTCTAGCCAGATTCCACAAGGCAAAGTAAGGGCGTGGTCAAGATGTTTACAGCATTCTCGTGGGTTTTGATCCTACTCAATTACATGCACCTGAACTCTATCAAGCCCACATCACCCAGGCACGTGGGGCCACGTGTTCGGACCGTAGGTTCAAGCTTACAACTACAGCTGTTGGCTATAATTGTGCTGGAGGGCTCTGCCCTCCAGGCTGGGACTTGCATGTGGCCATGAGGGGACTGTGCCCTCTCATTAGTCAGAGGCTTGAACCTGTCCAAACACTGTAGCCGCTCTCCGCATTTAATTATCATGGAAGGGTCGGAGGTAAGTTTTATAATCTTGTTTTATAAGCGAGGAAACCGAGTCTCTGAGAGCACAAGTGACTCCCCTGAAGGAATAAGCTTGTAAGTGATTGGGACTGGCCAGGAACCTAGGGCTTCTGACCACAGCAATTGCTAAGATATATTTTCCTCAAACCAGCTACTTATGGAAAGCAAATGTAAAAGGAATGCAAAGGGAACCACAGCTCATGCTGATGACCACAAGTTGTTATTTGCTGGGAAGTTTGATCCAAAAATACATGGTTCCATTCAAAATTGAAAGACATTCAACCACCTTTCCTATGGCCATTGCCTGGGTCCATCAGACCTTCATCATCCCGCAGTAAGTTTATTCCAGCACATTTTTAGGTAGTCTCTCTGCCTCCAGTTTCATTCCCCTACTATGCATCATCTACCCCGTGACGGAATCATTTTTCTAAATGCAAATCAGATTATAGCATTGCTTGCTTACAACCCTTCAGTAACTCCCAGAACTTTTAAGAAAAAGGACGAATTCAGCTTTGCACACAAGATATTTTATGATCTGACTCTGGTGAGTCTCTAGCTTCATCTGTCCCATTTCTCTAGTCATACTGAGTGAACTTTGGTTCTGCACATGCTGATTCATTGCTCTGCCTTTGTGTCCACCCTTTTCACTGGGTGGAACTCATGTCTTTTCTGGGTTTTTTGTTTTTGTGTTTTGTTTTTTTTTTGGTCTGGCAAACCCTTCCTTAGCCTCAAAATTACTGTCATCCACCAGATGTTGTTTCCTCTGAGAAGCCTTTTGTGATCCATCAGACTGACTTGGATGTTTCTTCTCTGTGCCCCTCCCTGCACTCTGGACATATCTCTCTCATCACACTTCCTACCCCACACAGTAACTGTGTATTACATGCCACTATCTCCCATAGACTGTGGGAAACATTTGTGCCCTATTCAGTTTTACAGACTGCCTGGCACATAACATCAGTAAATGTTTGTTGCATGCATATCAAGAAGGAAAGAATATAGGGAGGAAAATATAGAAGAAGAGATCAATAATTATTTAATACTTTTCTCGAAGATATACTGATGGTATACATTTTAAAGTTAAATTTAGATAATGTGTTCCTCATGGCTTTAATAGTTGCATCAATTGCTTTGTTTTGTTTTGGTTGTATGAGTTTTTTAAAAAAAGAAAAATTTTATGATGTTTTCAGTTAAATAAACAATGTTTATTTTTCTGAGATCTCAGAAACACCTAGAAAACATTGCATGATGAGGTGAGGGAAGGAGTGGTGAGGGTTTCGTGGAGGGGGAGAGAGATCAGGAAGCTGAGAGCGGGGGTCTCCTGGTCCCATTACTAGCTGAAAGCTCTGGCGGGATGAAAATGATTTATGTTAGGGATCTCAGCAACTAACTCCAGTCTCCAGGGATGGAAACATTTTGCTTCCAAGCATGCTAAGTTTGGGATCTTGTGCTTACTGAGTCTGACAGTTGATAAAGGATCTTGTCCCCAAGGAACTTGTCTTAAGTTTAACCCTGAAAACGTCCAGGGGGAATGGCATGTGTTCCTTGGGTTTCTGCATCTCTTTCTAATTATGTTGCTTACCTGCTGTTTCCTGTGAGTATTAAATGTGCTCATGCTGAGCAGGAATTTTCCACATCAGGCCTCTTATGCTACGAGACTGAGCCTTCATCATTAACTCCCACCTATTCATAGAAAGCTTAGCGTCCATCTCTCATTTAAGAAATTGATTCCTCACAAGAGGCGCTTTATACTGGGCCCAAAGTGTGAAAGGAGTTTTTGGCAGGTTGGTTTCTGATGGGATACCTTAAGTGAACCATCCATCCACCCATGCAACGTCCATCATCCATTCATCCATCCATCCCATAACCACTTTCTGAAATCTTATGCTGTTCCATGTTTTCTGTAGGAACAATAGATGACATACCTAAGGCAGAGTGGGTAAGAATATGGGGCAGAATAGTCTTCCTGGAGGTGTAGATGCCTAAGATGAACAGGAGTTAGCTAGTTAGCTGTGCTGGTGGATAGGGGTTGGGGGATGGTTGTTCCAGATTGAAGTAAAAACTTGGGCAATTGCACAGAAATACAAGAGAGCATGATGAGTTTCAGGCACTGCAAGATAGAAGGTCACATACTTATTGAGCACCTTTCTTGTGCCAGGTGCTGTGCTGGGATCTTCGAGAATGAGCTTTGCTGCATAATTACCACAGTGAAGGCCTAATGATATTTACTAAGTATTACTCTTAATGGAAGATTTAATAAATAAGTTAGATGCAGATGGCAGAGGCAATGGAAAAGCATGAGAGAGGGGAAGTAAATTCTATTTATTGACAATACATGCTAGAAGCATTACATTAAAATCCTCTGTGTTGTTCCATGTGCTGCTATAGGAACAATTCCCCATAGAGATAACAGATATAAAAAATGGAGTCTCTGAGAAGAAAGGCAGGTATACACTGCCAGGTTTGGGGACTAAAAAAATCCACAATTTTCCCACTGTGACCTTCTGTCTATCACCAAAAAAGAGCTTCTCTTTGACTAATGGCTCTGAGGATCAGGGTCTGTCCTCTTTCCCCTCCAGCCTTGGAGACAGAGCTTAATCATGCAAACGATGGAGAGAGGGAATCCTTTCTGAAAAAGGGGCCCCTAGAAAGGGAGGCTAGAGAGAAAGTGGATATCAGGGAGTCATGTCAGTTCCATGCTTTGGGCCAACTTTAACCATCATCTAAGATCCATCCTAAATCCTCTGTCCTTTGATAAGCCTGCCCTGAAAACACCAGGCCTTTGTCCCTTGCTCTCAGAAGTTATTGTCTGTATATTATAATACAGTGGGGCCTTGACTTACGAGTTTAATTCGTTCCGTGACGGAGCTCGTAACTCAAATTACTTGTATGTCAAATCAATTTTCACCATTACAATGACATATGATGCTGGGCTGATGTTGTGGCATTCACTGTGACGTTCGCTGCGCCAACTAGCGGTGGGGTATCTGAAGCTGGCTTGTAACCCGAATTTTAGCTCTCAACTCAAAGCAAAAAATCGGCCGAGAGACGGCTCATATCTCGAAAAACTTGTTAGT